TTCAAAGAAGAGTCCAATAGGGTTATAAAAACCTCGGAGAATTCCAGTAAGATATCTTTAATCAATTCGAAGATACAATAGTTCTAATCTTAATGAAACAAATGAGCAATTTTGCTTTTTACACGATTTGAACAATTTTACTGTTACACCAGTTATTTATATATATATATATATATATATATATATATATATATATATATATATATATATATATATGTGTGTGTGTGTGTATGTATATATATATATATATATATGTATATGTGTGTATATATATATATGTGTGTGTGTCTGTGTATGTGTAATCAAATAAATAAATATAATTAATATACTGAAAATGTTCACTTGCAAATACATGTCGAGAAACAAGAGTTACTTCCCTTGATAATTAATGTATTTTTACTACCAGCGTTCTCAGTCATTTTTAAATTGAAATTAAAATAATATTGAAATAGACCATAATAATATTATATTATATTATTATTACCATAATAATATTATATAAAAGATTATTTAATAATAAATATCAACAACGACCACAAATAAATTGATATTTTATTTAAGTAATCTTTTATATATATATATATATATATATATATATATATATATATATATATATATATATATATATATATATATATATATATATAGTTGGAAACTCGTGTTCGAGGATACTCGTCTGCTGGGGCGGCTAGCCAATCCCTAATTCAGACGCTCTCTCAGGCACATTTGTGAAAGCTCAACGCCCACAGAGCCCACTTGTGGTTTATACTGCAAATATGCTGAGCAGACGTTAGTTACAGTTTCTGGGAAATAGCGTGTTATCTAACGTGATCAAGAATTTGGCTACGATGACTTGTGACTTCGTGCTAGCACAGCTATCAACGATCTCCCAAGTGTCCTGTCTACCCAATTTCACTGACAATGCTTGGGTCAACCCTTGTTATGATTTTCAGGCACTTTCTAAAGGTGCTGCATGTTCGCTGGGATCGTCCCCCCCTCCAGACCGATAAATCAAAGACAAACTCTGTTCACTAGATTCATTTATTTAGCATCGACAATTTATATATATATTTCTTATGATCTGCACATATTGGAATTGCATGTATCTATTTGTTTTATCGATTTGTATGAAGATGAAATTTTTACTTTTAAAACAAAAAATCTATCCCGTTATTAAATTTCACCGAAACAACAGCCAACCCACCGAAAATTCCGAGACTTCAAATGAACACAGCACAGCATCATGCTACTACAGAATGTACCGGTACTCGACTTCGGCATTAAAATTCATTTTTAGCCCTGACTTCAGATGCAAATGAATTATTCAACAATCTTAACGGCTTTCGAAAGACAAAGCACGCCACACCTTCGTAGCTAAGCTTTGGCGCAAGGTCTCTTAGTGAGAGAGAACTGATGTTTCTGACGTCTGCAACGAGTTTGACGAACAAGATACATAAACTCAATGACTACAGACTATATATATATATATATATATATATATATATATATATATATATACGATTATATTTTAAAAATATATATATAATACGAGCATACGGCGGTGCAAACGATGATTTACAAGTGCAGTGCAACATTTAGAGTTGTATATATTCTGTCATTCGCAGACAGTACTGTTTAGCTGTATCACAGCTCCTCAGTGCGACTAGACATCCGATTACCTCAAGCCCGGATTGAAACCCAAACGATCAGTCAGAGTATCTACCACTGAGCTATCTTCATTCGACAGAGAGAAACAACTAAATCTAGCGTATTGTTTTTTTACGAATGTAAACGAATGCCAATCAGCCGGAGTGCTCCAATTCATTTTAATGAAGAGCTTTGCATTAACGCAGGTGGCTGTTGTTTATAGAATTAGCTTGTCATTCAACAGTGTTCAAATGAAATATATTTTCAAGAGCTAAATTATGTCATTCGCAGTACTGTTTCGCGACTGGACATCCGAATACCTCAAGCCCGGATCGAAACCCAAACTTTGGCCTTGCGAATTTTTTCTTTCTTTCTTTTTTTGTCGCGACTCATTTTATTTAACTGGCGACCCACTGAAGGACCGAGACCCACGGTTTGAAAAATTCTGCATTACACCATTAGCACAACTTTTGCTGTATTTGAACAGGTGTTTCTTGTTTTCAAAAGGACAGCGTGACTTTTCCGAGCCACTAGCATAGATAACCCAGAATGACGTGGCCTACATTTTAATCAGTTAATCTAGTCATTTACGCGTTCGTTTTAATTTAATGATTCTCATTACGCGTAATTCTATAAAAGCCCGCGAGCAATATTTTCGTATACATTGTTTATTGATTAATTTATCGTAAACTTTATAACTGCTATTCTGTTATATATCTTTCTTTTCTCTCTCTCACAATTTCTTTCTCTCTCTCTCTCTCTCTTTCTTTCACTATATATATATATATATATATATATATATATATATATATATATAGAAGAACAGTAAGATATATAATCCGGTGTTCTTATAGATATTTTTATTTTTACAAAATAATGCTCACTGCAAATTTACAGAGCATTAATATTATAAATTAATTGATTTAAAATATGTTTTTTTTCGCTACACAGTTCTAACCATGTTTCAAAAATGGAAGCTAAAAGCTTCGAATTTAATTTTGTAATTAAGTTAAAAACATTAATTCCATTTCATCCTCAAGCGAATTTTGGAGTAACTTATTTTTAAATTTACTGAGTTTTAAAGGTACGGCAAAAATTCATAATTCATTGCTTCCAAGGATACAGAGAAATCCATTCATCCAGACAAGGGGTGGTTGCATGTTCATTTTCATTAACTTTTGTTGTATCAGTTATTAGTTATTAGTTTATTATATATATATATAAAGGTGTATCAAAATACGTTTACAAACTTTGGGGGTGGGTTCCTCACACTAATCAAGGAAAAAAGTCCATATAAACTTATCTCCGCAAACACTTCGTTTTGGAGTTATTAAGTTTAAAAAAGTTTACGGTAGATGGCATTGCTATGTAGACTAGGTTACATTTGTCATTCGTGTACATTTGTAGCTAGTCTGTCTTTAACGTTTAACATGTGTAGTAGTGAGTTGACTGAGACGTGTTCCGTTTAACAATGGCAGGATATTCATATTGGGAGCAGGAATATTTGATTTTTGTATACGGCCGCGCAAATGTAAATGGACACGAAGCTGCACGGCTGTATCAGATTGCGTTTCCAGACTGAAAGTAGCCGAGTAATCCAACCTTTTCTGCTGTTTATTGTCGCGTTGCTGAAACAGGATTCGTGGCACCACAAACTATGGTAATAAGTATTTGGGGATTGTATGTTGGACTGTATATTTAACAGAGTCTACCATAAACTTTAAACTTAATAATTTAAAAACGAAGGATTTACAGACATATGTTTATATGAACTTATGTCATTGTTTACTGTAAGGAACACTTTCCCAAAGTTTAAAAAGTATTTTTCATACACCACACACACACACACACACACACACACACACACACACATATATATATATATATATATGTAGATAGATAGATAGATAGATAATGATGTCATTTGGTAATCTGTATGGATAATTCCAAAGAGGATGTAATCGAGAACTCAATATATATATATATATATATATATATATATATATATATATATATATATATATATATATATAAACAACTAAAAGTTACTAATTAAAAAATAATAATATTTTTATGAAAGTATTTATTTTATTTTTTTATATTTATTTATATATATATATATGTAGTTTTGATATTTCAGATCGACCTCGATCTTTCTTCAGAAATCACTGTTTTTAGAGTTTGCTGAAGAAAGATCGAGGTCGATCTGAAATACTAAAACTATATATATATATATATATATATATAAATAAATATAAAAATATATATATATAAAAATATAAATCAATACTTTCATAAAAAAACATTATTATTTTTTTTAATTTGCAACTTTTTAGTTGTTTTTTCTATATATACATATTAAGAAAGTATACGTGGCTTCTCATTATGCTGTGTATATATATATATATATATATATATATATATATATATATATATATATATATATATATTAAAGGAACAGACAACTTTAAGGTTTCATGGGATTATAATTTATTTTCTTAGGCCCGGGATTTTAGTCCTAATTCATCAGATCTCCATTTTCATATGTGATGAATTAAGACAAAAATCTCGGTCCTAAGGAAATACATTTTTCTTAATATAATTAATATTTGCCGTGGAAAGGTTTGGTTAAGGTAGTTCCTTACTGGCAAAGAATAATGGGGGAAGTGCTCCATCTTCTGAGCTGTGGAAATGTGAAACAAAAAGTGAAACAACTTTAATTCTAATTTTGACCCACCCTTCATTAGCCATAATTGGCTTTTGAACCGCGAAGCGAAGAAATAGCACAAAACGGAATAAAAAAAAAATGGTTGATTATTTGAGACAGAAAATCTGTGATCGTGTTGTTTTCATGGTTCCTCTTTCGATGATTTTGTCGAGAAATAAACCTGCCATTTTTCCAGACGAAGGAAAATAAAAAAAAGCATTGAATTCACCGAAACGCAAGAATCAAACTTAAACATTTAACGCTAAATCCGTCATTTCGAAGGAATTAATTTATAAACCAAAATTACTTCCAATTATTATAAACGTTACAATTATTACTAGATACACTTACTTCTCGTACGATCACCGAAGCCACGTCAACCTTAGTTGGTTTTGTCTAGCGGCATATCAACATCTCAATGGGTTATTTAATGCCGAAATATAAATATTTACTACGCAATTTTTATTTTATTTTTGGCGATAATTATAATTTAGTGATACAAGTCTTGCTAATTAGCCCATAGACGGGGAGAGGTGGATTCATGGCTTTCGCGTAAGTGAATATAACAAACCCTACTGGAATTCGAACTCTGCTCTCCGATTAACAATTCCGAGCCATTATCCATTACACCACCGGTACATCCAAGCTTACAGCACCTGATATTTCTAGGCGGTTACCCACCTCGGTACTGACCAGTTTCGACGTTGCTTAACTTCGGTAATCGTAAGGGAACCGGTGTTTCAACGTGATGTGGCCGTAAGCCGTCGTTCTTGATCAGTACCTAGATGGGCGAGCGCTTGGGATTACCAGATGCTGTAAGCTTGGATGTGCGGGTGGTGTAACGGAAAATGGCTCTGATTTGTAAACCGGAGATCGGAGTTCCAATTCTAGTCACTTTCCAACCGTTTTAACGTATCTTCTCTGTGTCTTTTCTATAAATACTTTCATAGTAATTCTTCTGATGAAGATTTTCACTTTGGTAACTATACTTTATGAATTTAAGTGCAGTGCTAGATTGGCGGCTAGGTCTCATCATTTTATATTTGAAATGGCTAGATGTGAACGCAAGTTCTATGCTGACAGTTTCTGCTCCCGCATTTCTCGCTTGAAGACCTATTTTCTGATTTCTTATTTCCCCACCAACTTTGAAGCCAGCACCACCCGAACATCCAAACTTACAGTACCTGGTACGCCCAAAGGGCCACCCGTCTAAGTACTGGTAAGGTTCGATGTAGCTTAACATCTGTGACCGTACAGGAATCGATGTTTCAACGTGATCTGGCCGTAAATCTAGAGATACGTAGGGATGGTAAAAAGGCAGATATAAGAGATACATAGGATAGGATGACGTGGAGAGCCATCATCACCAATTGTATTCATTTTTTATATTGATCTCTTGAAGGATGTCAGCAAAGTTTACCTCTTTGCTACATTTTACTTACTCAATTTGCTTTCGCAAGGTCTGATGGAGTAATTTTATTACAAACACTCAATTCATCAAAAGTGCCATCGCCTCCAGCATGGAGACAATAATAATGTAGGTCCATGCATACGCATGAGGAAGCACCTAGATGTTTGACTGCTTGGGATTACCAGGTGCTTTAAACTTGAATGTGAGGGCGGTATGGCTTGCAACCATATCACGTTGAAACATCGGTTCTCGTACGATCACCGAAGTTAAGCAACGTCGAGCCAGGTCAGTACATAAATGGGCGACATCTGGCGAATATCTGATGCTATAAGCTTGAATGTGATGGTGGTATGGCTTGCAAACATATCACGTTGAAACATCAGTTCTCGTATGATCACCGAAGTTAAGCAACGTCGAGCCAGGTCAATACTTTAATGGGCGACACCTGGCGAATATCTGATGCTATAAGCTTGAATGTGACGGTGGTATGGCTTGCAACCATATCACGTTGAAACATCAGTTCTCGTATGATCACCGAAGTTAAGCAACGTCGAGCCAGGTCAGTACTTTAATGGGCGACACCTGACGAATATCTGATGCTATAAGCTTTAATGTGACGGCGGTGTGGCTTGCAAACATATCACGTTGAAACATCGGTTCTCGTTCACCTCGTCAATCCAGGTCGTACATAAATGGGCGACACCTGGCGAATACCAGATGCTATAAGCAACGTCCGAACCATCGGTTCTCATACGATCACCGAAGTTAAGCAACGTCGAACCAGGTCAGTACATAAATGGGCGACACCTGGCGAATATCGGATGCTGTAAGCTCGGATGTGCGGATGGCATGGCTTACAACCACATCACGTTGCAACATCGGTTCTCGTACGATCAACGAAGATAAGCAACGTCGAACCTGCTCAATACCTAGATGCTTGACTGCCTGGTAATAACATCTGCTGTAAGCTTGGATGTGCAGGTTGTAAAATTTATAACGGCTGACAATTGCGAAAGTTTTGAATTTACCTTGTCTCTTCCAACCTATAGGTTAATTAGTAGAAAGCAATAATTAACTTCAAAATTAAAAAAATATATTATTTTCAAAAAATTCTTAGAAATTAAACATTTTATTCACATTATTCGGACTGTTTATCCTCATCTTCATTGCCATATTCACAACGTCTCGGTCGTTGTACGCTCCAGCCTTCTTCAGGTTACTGGAATTTCGAACTGAACCCATTATTTCGTCCACCGCGGTAGATTGTTGCTGAGACATTAGTTTTATAAGCCCAGAAATTCCTACACAGATGTCCTCAAGGACACATGGCCAAGTGGATAAACACGTTGGTTACATCCAGGGACTAGACCCAAACACTTGTGAGTTCAATACCAGGCTACAGCAGTTATGAACTATAAAACTTGGAGAGTTTAGTTAAAGAGGCATGTCACGTGGAACTAGATTATTCTACTCCGATGGACGAAATAAAGGGTTCGGTTCGAAATTTCAATCACCGTACAACGGCCAGAAACGTTGTGAATATGGCAATTTCTCTCTTTTTATGTGCCATCTCCTTTCAGGATGTAGGCGATCATAGCTCTCCACCTCCCCTCTATCCATTTCAGCTCTCAACAAGTTCTTTCCTTCTGCTATCCCCTCCCAGACTACGTTCTGTCATCCACCTGCTCAAGCCCGCCAGGAATGTCACGCGTTGCTTTCCCTAGTCTCTCTTTCTCTCTATTCGACCTGTGAGTATCAGATTCTCCAGGCTCTCTTTCTTCATTATTGTTGTGTATGATACACCTAATTTACATAAGTGGAGTACCGACCATATAAATATGGGTTGGTACCGGAAGACGACGGAAGATTAAGAGATCGAATCCAGAGACTCTGCCCGACTGCGACTTAGTCAACCCATCCTGCAGGAACAGTCTTCCCAAGAATATACCAAAACTACCTGTAAATATTGTGTACCTTTTTTCATTGTTTCAATACATTTTGTTACGTACATTTTGTGTTGTATTATTATTATTCCATGTTTATTCAAGCTTCAACAATTATGTATCCCAGGAACTTCAGCTGCCTCTTTTTGGTGTTAGGCATGAGACTTCTCCTTGTCTGCATAACAGTCCGAATAATGTAAATAATTATAATTCCTCATTTCAGAGATATAGACAGATAAAAGAATTTTCTGGGTTTAAATATTCTTGGATCCGTATTATTCCTAATATTCACCGACGACCTTCCTAATGTAATCAGTTCTCAACTCCATATCTATGCTAATCGGTAGGATAAGATAAAATTGGCAGAAAGGAATGATCTCTAATCTCTATATTGTTAACCAGTGCATGAAATGGCTTGTTAAAAGGAATTGCGCTCTTTTAATAGCCCGAGGGAACCTTTTTTGCACAACATCTGCATGGCCGATGCTGACTTCAAGGAGAGTAACTCATTGTGCCTTCTGAGGCAAACGTTTTCCGCTGATATGAAATGGAAAGCTTTTATGGAATCAACTGCTAGGGTCTACTGCTAAGAAAGTTTCACTCTGTCGTTCTCGACAATTTTTCTCTCCAAAATCTATCTTACAACAATTATAAATCTTATATCAGTCCATACATTGAAGGTTTCAACCACATCATGCTTCAGCTGTGTATTTAGAGATTCTCGATAAAATACAAAGAAGAATCGGCAATGTTATCGGTCCTGACCTGGCATCTCGGCTTCAGTTATTTTATCACCGCAATAACGTCCTCTCCCTCTGACTTTTTATATTTTCACAGTAATTGTTCTGATAAAGTTTACTTGTTGGTACCTAGATTTTGCATGCAGTACTAGATTGGCGGCGAGGTCTCATCATTTTACAGTTAAAATGGTTAGATGTAACTGTAAGTTCTATTTTTTTTATTTTATTATTATGCCTTTAAATTCCTCGAGGAACATAGGACCGCAAAGATATTGTTGCGGTTTCTATAACAATCTAGTTTTTAAGTGGGTAGGTTGTCAGCCTACTGCACAATCCCCAATCTGGAGGATCAGGTTTTGAATTCAGAGTTGTTCTTCTCCTACACCAGTTGCCATCCAAGGCTATAGAACCCGGTCTGTCCTGCTATTTACCCATAGCTGGAGGGAGAAAAAGAGGATTCATACCTTTCACAAGGGTATTAGCATGTAAGTGAATGTAAAGCATTTGACTGGAATTTGAACTTAGCTCTCTGATTCTCAATTCGAGCCACTACCCATTATTCCACAGGACAGAGGCGTGTCCCAAACGACCCTCCGCAGGTTTCGAATTCAGAGTTGACCAGTTGCAATTCAAGGCTATAGAACCCAGTCTGTTGTGCTATTTACCCATAGCTGGAGGGAGAAGAAGAGGATTTATACCTTTCCCAAGGGTATTAGCACGTAAGTGAATGTAATGGATTCGACTGGAATTCGAACTCGGCTCTCCGATTCCTCAATCCAAGCCGCTATCCATTACTCCACCGTGCCTCCTGTAAGTTCCATGCTGACGGTCTGTTCTCTCGCATTTCTCGCTTATGGAACACTCTTCCTACTTCTTAATTGCTAATCAACTTTGAGCTTAAAGAATTTAAAAGCAATGTCAATCCTTATATTCATTCTTTTATCTTCTGGTTTTTTAATTGTCCTCTCCCCTTAATAGTATTTTTTTCTCCCCACTCTCTACCCCTCAGTAACCCCTTGTCTCTTAGTGGCTTTATTGCCTTGCTTGGGGTGAAATGATCAAAATAAATATGCAGATGATGCCACAGTTTATGGCTGCATCTCCAAAAATCTAGATCACTAGTGCTTGTCAGGTGATCTCTCCACTGACCGAGTTCCAACAGCTCACTGGGGGGAAAGACTGACTTTTAAATGCAATGTCAATTCTTATCTTCTTAATTCTTATTCTTTTATTTATACCAGTTATTATCAAATCGAGGGTCCGCCGACTGGTGGCGTTCTGCGAACCATCAGCTACCCGTGCGCGTCCAGTGTCCAGGCCATGCTAAGGAATCATTTAAAGAATTGGTAGATGACAGCCAAACGGTACACCGCCAGAACCAGGGCCGTTAGAATTTGTACTTTCGGACCAAACTTGGTACTTACAATATTTGGTGCTATCTGATAATAAATTATTTAATTTGGTATTTTTCAAAAGAGATTATTTAGCTATAATATAATTATAATAACGTGGATTTATAAACCGTAAAAAAAAGATTATCGGATCAAACGTTTTATTCCTGTTCAAAACACGTCGATGCCTGGCTTAACGTCTTGCTTATGTCTACTGCGGTCAGTCACAGGCAGTGTAATACTTGAATCAGGGTGTTACTTACTTGGTACCCGGTACTTGTGTTTCGGCCCTGTTGCTGGTAGTATCACAGCTACGACTAGCTTGGACCGGCTCCGGCCTGGACCAACTATGACAAGCCAAGACTGGCTTAGACCAGCTCTGACCAGCTTGGACAAGCTATGACCAGCTATGACCAGCTTAGACCAGCTCTGACCAGTTTGGACAAGATATGACCAGCTAAGACCAGCTACGACTATAGACCAGCTCTGACCAGCTTGGACAAGCTATGACCAGCTAAGACCAGCTATGACCAGCTATGACCAGTTTGGACAAGATATGACTAGCTAAGACCAGCTACGACTATAGACCAGCTCTGACCAGTTTAGACAAGCTATGACCATCTAAGACCAGCTATGACCACTATGACCAGCTCTGACCAGTTTGGACAAGATATGACTAGCTAAGACCAGCTACGACTATAGACCAGCTCTGACCAGCTTAGACAAGCTATGACCATCTAAGACCAGCTCTGACCAGCTCTGACCAGCTTAGACCAGCTCTGACCAGTTTGGACAAGATATGACCAGGTAAGACCAGCTACGACTATAGACCAGCTCTGACCAACTTGGTCAAGCTATGACCAGCTAAGACCAGCTATGACCAGCTATGACCAGTTTGGACAAGATATGACCAGCTAAGACCAGCTACGACTATAGACCAGCTCTGACTAGCTTGGATAAGCTATGACCAGCTAAGACCAGCTAAGACCAGCTTAGACCAGCGGCCCGAGTGAAAACACTCGGGTCCCCACGTTAAAAACCGACCTTATGTCACAGCCTGACTCAGTAGGGAGTCAAGTAAATATCTACTTGAATCAGGGAAGTGAGCACGTATGTATATATCGGCTTAGCTAGCACAAGTTTTACATATTTAGTATACAATGAGCCCCTGCCTATTCGCGGCATCACAGATTTGCTGATTTTTCTTTTTTTTTAAATAAAACGGTTATTTTACGTATGAAAAAAAATTTACACT